AGCAGTGCACAGGAGAGCGGGGCTGGATGTGTGATGGCATTGGAACCACTACAGGTAACTGACCCAGCCCCTTGCTTGGTAGTTAGTGCAGTATCAGCATGGAGGTGCAGATTTGGTGCCTGCCTGGGCAGGGAGGTGCCATAGCTGCTCAGAGGGCAAGAGGAACAAACAAATAGGTGTGTTTGTAGGCCATGGAGGAACATGATCGCCTGCCATGAGTTTGTGAAACTGCTGTGACAGCGCACAAGAAACTGGCTTGGTTAAAGTCTGAAGGAAGGACAACTTTGAACAAACTCATGTGCAGATAGAAGTCACTTTCTCCCTTGTTAATCCACATGTTGTCTTCTTTCTGGAAGCTGACAGCATTGTTTGGGATGAGTGCCAGAACAGATACCTTTTAAGCCTTTTACTCTCTGAAAAGTTTTCTTGCAGCAAGACTTAGAGAAGCAGCCATGTTCAGTTCCCTCAGCCCATCATTTCTGTGGAAGCAAGTCCAGAACCACTGGTTGTGCAGTCACTGGAATAACTGTCTAGTGTCATTGGGCAGGTCTAAGCTTTTGGCACAGGGAGGTGGTGCTTCTAGCAAAGGTGATTGAACAGCAGCATTCACAAGCCTTTGGTGCTTACAGGGTGGCTGTGTTTTCCAGGGATATTAGAGCTTTCCTGGCTTCTCTCACCTTGGATATGTTTGTGGCAAAAACTGAGCCCACAGTGCTCAAATGCATTATTAGGGCAGCTTAATGATTTCTTAAGTGAGAGCTGAACCTCTGCCTGTGCACCCAAGCTGCAGCTGGCAGGTCACACTTTAGTGAAACATGTCTTAACCCAGTCTGAGCAAGAGCTTGTGCTTGAACATTTCTGGCAGGTGGGTGGCGTAGTGTGTTCTCCCACTGTGTGTGATACTTCATCTTCAGTCAGCTGGTTTTTCATCTTGCAAGCTTTCTGTGTTGTGAGAGCGGAGCAGTGTGAGATGAACACTTGCAGAGACCAGCACAGAAGATGAGGCTACAAAACCCTTAGTGATTCCACTTTCAGGACAGCTGTGTAACAGCTCCTGAAGCACTGGCTTTGGTCTGATGGGCCAGGGGTTAGTTTGGTCCCTGCTGATAGAACATGGAATTGTTTATCCTGCAAGAACTGCTGCGGATGGAATTTCTGGGTCACCTCCTGCTGGTTTTATGCTTTATTATGCAGTACTAATGTAAAGAAATCTGTTGAGTTTTATGCATATTTTTATTTTGTACAGATTTTAATTCTGTTGCTTGTTTGGGGATGATGTGATGTAATGGTCATAGACCAGGCCAAGGTAAACAGGCTTTGTATATTAATGTTACATAGATTGCATGCTAGTAAAGTCAGTGAGGGTTGTGTTTCCAGTTTTGTCCCTTGTACTTCTTGTCCAAAACCTTCTCTTCCCCACCCCTTTTTAATTTACAGGTTTACTTTAAAAGGGGGTGGCAAATGGGGGGGTGGGGCAGAAACACCTCAGTATTTCAAATAAGGTGCACAACAATCTCTTCATTGCTGAGTTTTGCTGCTGCAGCTCATGGTGTTCTGCATCACAGGCTGTTGAAGCGGGAGTGTGTACACATGAGAGGTGGGGGAAGGAGACACTCCATCATAGCCCAAAGAGTGCTGAATGGCCAAAATGTATATGTTTCTCCCTTTGTGAGAACTGCCTTAGCCCAGCCAGCTGTTTTCATTGTGCACAGAAATTGTTCAGCATCCTCTAGCGGTGTATTTTGCCTTGGTTTGCTGTGTATCAAAGGCTTCTTCCTTCCTCTTGGCACCAGGGACAAAGCTATTAACTACAGCTGCCTCTCCGTCATGTGCCTGCATGAGAGGAGGTGTGACTGAGTCTGTCCACATCTAGTGCTGAAGCGGGTTCATTTTGGTGCCTTCATTCCAGCTGAAGAGAGATAGCTGAGGTCGCATGTGTCTGACCCATTCTTTCCCCTCCTTTTCCCCTTCCCTTCAGCTGTTGCAGCAGAGGGCTGAGTGGGGCAGGAGAGGTGACCAGCAAATTCTATGCCTGAGTGTCCTGAGGGCTTGCCAATGTGCAGTGGCTGGAGTAGGCACCAGAGAGCTGAAGCAATGCTGGATCACTTGATCGTCTGACTGGCTAGACGCAGACACACACTGAGGCACCAAAGAGAACAAGAGGTGTGGCTTGGCCCTGAGGTAGATGACAGCTTCGTGTGTGTTATCAGGAGGCTGACCATGTTCCTGGAATTCAGCTTATCCTTGGAGATAGTTGAGTTGGATGTCATGTGTGTGTCAGAGATGTCTGCTGGTGTGAACCACAGGTCCCACAGGTCCTGTGGTGTGTGGCTGGGTGGCTTACCTGTGGGTGCCAGAAAGGCTTAGACCCAGCTAGTTCTTGCTAGAGCAGTTTGTTCTCCTTTCACAGCTGCTGGGCATTTTCTTTTCTTGCTGCTGAGGGTTCTTGGTGACAGCCAAAGTTGACAGTGGCAGTAATGCAGCTTCTGAAAAGTGCCACTTTTATCTGGGTTGTTTCAGTTTATCGTGAAAAGAAAGCGAGGAAGCAGCAGGACTGAGGAGCCTTTTCCAACAGAGGGTATGTGAGCTGCCTGCCTGCTTCGGGTGTGCACATGTTGACTAGAGGTGGAAGAGGACTCTGCACTGATCCTGTTGCGCTTCTCTGGTGTCTCCCATGTGTGCCTGATGGTGACTTAATACTGTCCTCTTCCTAGCAACTTCCACCACTTCCTAGCGGATGCTGTGGATGCACCTCTCTGCTGGAAACAAGCCTGCTTTTTTTATTAGTTATGTCTGTGGGCTCCAGGCATAGAGCAAAATTTCCACATTTTCTTTGCTGGAAAGGATGGAACTTTACGTGGTTTAGTAAACTGGGAGCATTTACAGAGCTTCTCCTCCCAGAGGTGCAATAGGACATTTTGTAAAACAGGTGACATCTGTATTCTCTGCAGGTCCCTTTTGGAAGCTGCTTAGAGGATGCTGTTGGACAGACTGTGGTGCTGTGGCTTTACTAGGAGCAGTAGTTGTATTCAGAGAATCAAGAGTCACTGGTGAAGGCACTGCAGCATTTCAGGCAGTATTACAAACCCCGTGCAGAGACTTCAGTGTGTATGTTGGCAACCATGACAGTAGGAAAGGTACAACACTGTTGCATTCACTAAGGCAAGTATTTACAACACTAACCTCTAGGGAAGGTGGTGGTGGAAACTGAGTACCAGCAGGATCCTGGGCTACAGCTTCTGGGGTGCCAGTTACAATAATTTACTGTGCTTACAGGTGTGTTCACCTTCTCCAGCTTCTGGCATCTCCCAGTATTTGGCATGGCTGCATTTTGTGGATAAAATGGTTATTACACAGAGGTCAGAACAGTACAAGAAGGGAACAAGAAGGTAATGTGTGGTTTGTTTGGGGGATTTTCCCCCACAGTAGCTGAAGTCAACGTGTAGTAACAGCCCAATTTACCTACTTCTGATGTTAAAATTTCAAGCATAGTGGGACCCCCACCTCACGTCCACGGAGATATTCTGAAAGCTTGATGCTTTGGTGGTTTGACAACTGCTGTTAAAAAGAATAGTTCACAGATCCTAGTGTTCTGCTGCTTTCATTCTTAAAAAACCCCACCCATGAGTTTTGTGTAATCTCCAGCCAATGGAGGAAGAGGTTTGGGGGTTTTTTTGGTTTCTCCAAATGTACTAACTTTATTAGCACCTGTGCTTATTACAAGACATATTACAAGACAGTGATGGCAGCAGGGGCCTGCTGTCCAGAGGTAAGCCTACACCCAGGACCCTGCTGAACACTGACATGGGGACCCTGCTGAAATGGGTGCAGTACATTTATTCCAGTTTCTCTTTACACCTCTGAAGAATCCTACCACTATTGACTAATAGGAAGAGCTATGTACAAATTTATTTCCATTACAGCGCCTCGGTAAGTGCTGACATGTCCAAGATTTTTTTGTAAAGAACAAGTGCTTCTTTTCACATTTGAAAAAGTGTCTTTTGCAACTTGCATGGACAAGTAGTTTCTATGAATTCTCTGGAGATGTCAGTGTCTAACATGGATTTTGTCCATGCACTTTTTTCTGAAAGCAGATGCCCCCCCCGCCCTTTGGTTTGCAGTTGGAGTAGCACACTCTGCTTTTGCTTTTGGCACTGCTGATGCAGTGGATGGAGGCAGAGCCCACTGTAAATGACCAAGCCCACAGGACTCTGGGGAGCTGTATGCCGCCAGTAACGTTTTAGTGTGTGTGCCATTTGAACCACCTTCCAGTGAGTGCAAAACCCAATTTCTAAATTTTTTTAATTGTACTTGGAATTAATTGTTGCTGTGTACTAAACCCTCTTGTTATGAGCCCTAAATAAAAAGAACAAAGCACACCGCATGTGTTCTGTGAGCGTGCCACAGCCGTGTCCCATTTCTTGTCTTTGGCTACAGACTTCAACGCACTAGGGCCAGGGATCGTGTCCCTGAGGCTCTCTGAGCACAGCACTTGCCACAGCAAAGTACAAACCTTGGCATCTGGCCTGCTGCTGCCAGCAGCTCCTTGCCTGCACTCACTTCTGTCATTCTCAAATCTGGGCTGCTGAGGGCTGCAGGGTGAGGCTGAGAGCATTTCCCAGCCAGGCTCCCTACAGCCCCCAGAGTGGGGCCACAGCAGCACTTACCAGCCAGAAGCTGCTCTGTGTGAGCAGAGCTGGCCAGGACTCTGCAAGCCCGAGCAAGGAGCAGCTGGGAAAGGTGAGCCTTCACACAGGGTCCTCTTTATACCATGTAACTGGTGTGCAGCACCTGGCTGGTACAGCCAGCTCTGACCCAGCAGAAAAAACTCTGCAAAGGAATAGCAGCAGTGTCCTTGGGAGTGAGCACAGGAATGGCATACAGCTGTAGGCCATCAGCTACCTGACCCCTACTGAGAGGAACCACTGATCTCCTGAAAACACAGTATGGGTCAGAGCTTGTGAGAAAGGAAAATTGCAAGACAGGATTAAAACAGAGTATTAAATTTAACTACATCTTTATTGAATTGTGCATATTCCATTGTATAATGAGCTATATTGGGTACTCTGTAATGTAGTATTTCTTTTGTCCTCTCTCATGCTTAAAAAAGTATATTTATACATATATTTATATATATTTATAATATGGCAAAGCTCCCCACAACCTGATGCTATCAGTCTAAAAGAGCTTTGATTTTTTTAAATTTTTTTTTTCTGTTTGGAAAGGGAAGAAGAGGGGAGGCAATCCCATTGAAAGATAAAATGTGCAATTTTCTTTTTAAAGCAGTAAACATGAATGTATTTACAGCACTCAGCACAAGTTTGCCGCACAGACAAATCATCATTGCAATGACACTTCTTACACTTGCATCTCCAGTATTATACAGAATATTCCCAGTGACTGGTAACAATTAGTGTAAGCCATAAACCAAACTGCTGCTCCAGTTCATTTCTGGTCCACTGCAGTCCACTAGGAGGCCTAAGATTTCCAATTAAAACTTATGACAAAACATTTAGTTTTTCTTTTAGAAGTACAAGCGTTATTGTGCTGCACCAAATCAGCCAGCAGGGTGCCATGGGCACAACTTTGTTAAACTGTCCTTTGCAAGTGCGTACCCAGTTCCCAGTGTTGGTTAAAGGCAAGGGACAGACAACATCTGAGAGTGGCACCCTGTTCTCTCACTAGACATGTGCTAGAGATCAGCAGTATGAGACGCCTGGCAACAGGAGACTGGTGTACACACATCTGCATACCTGGAATTTAGCTCAGAATGCATCTTTGGCATCTTGGGAAAGCTGGAAGGAAATTATTTTCCACTGCAGCAAACGGTTGAGTTCCAAAAGCTCCTATAAGACAAGTTGCCTTCAAGCATTTAAATAACAATCTGTTACTGAAGGTCCTTCTCATTCATTTCCACAGCACTAGTTTGTGTTCCTCCAAGTCTTCTACCTTCTCTAGCTCCCCTTTACCCAAGATCCATCAGCTGACAGAGAGCTCACTGAGTCCTTGCCCCACCGAGTGCCTCAGAGCACCAAATGATCATTACCCAAGTCACTATTTCTCCTGTGGCTGGTTAGCAGCAATTAGAGTAATTTACGTGGTGCTGGATTAGCGTGTGTTTTTCATCTCATTTGCAGTTTAGTGTCTTAAACTTCTCACAACTAGACCAAGCCTGTGTCACAGTATTAGTGAGTGCTGCCCCTGCAACAAAACCCTGGTTTGGTTTTTTTTCTTTGCCCCTTCACGGGAATTTGTTAAATGAAGGAAAGAAAATTCAGAAAGGAAAATTACTCAGCTTAGACAAACTCGGAATTCCAAAATAAAGCTTAAAACCCCACCATCATGTGGTAAAAAAAAAAAAAAAATCCAAATGAAACTATCCCTTGTAGTGTTAAATGCTCTCTGGTTTGGAGTCCGTCCCAGTGGTGCAAGGGAATGAACACAGAGCTCAACACCAGGTGCCACAAATGGGCCCCAAAGTATTAAGACTCACGTGCAACTGAGGAGCACTGTGACTCAGTATGTAATCTACACCTTAGTAATGCTATAAGGAAAATAAAAACCCAGTAACTAACCAAACTTGCATGTTCTGGCTTCATCCTCACTACCTTCTGCCAGGAATTCATACTGCTTTTCTGGAGTGCAACATGACACTAGTTGAAATAATACTCATATTATGACCCACTTATAATCTTATTTTGAATAAGAAACAAATATACCTGCGATAGTACCACTGTAGCAAAACAAATTTGGTTCTATGCTGTTTTCTGTAAAAAGCAGAAAATTTCTTTTTGCCCTTCTGCTGTTGAAATGGCACTTTTGGTTCCTTAAACTGTGGAAAAAAAGAAATTTAACTGAGAGGAAGACTGGCCACACTTTATCTCCGAGCTGATATAATTTATCTGGTTGCCTAAGGGCACAGAAAGAAGGAATTAGAAAACCTTTAAATGGGCAAGCCCAGAACAGTTAATGTTAAAATGCACTTGTTGAAAAAACTGCATCCTCTCCCCTCAGACCTGAAACCAAATAATCCAGGTACCAGCACTTTGTTTCCCTGATGTGTCCCTCACTGTTGCCCTGCAGACAAGGGCAGAGTAAGCTCAGGAGAGGAGCTCTTTGGCTTTGAGGTCACTACCAAGTCAGAGCACTCAGAGGTGGTTTGCTGCAGGAGGAAAGCACCGTGCAGGGTGAAGCAGGAAACTTCCTCTTCTGTAGAAAATAAGAGAATGCTTCAGGCACTTGTGCCTAACTTCCTCTCCCAGCTACAGGTGTTAAAAGACTAAGCAGGAACCCCTAGCATAGCCACCTGAAACATGGTTACCTATGGAAACCTGTGGGTTATTTTTAGTTTTAAAAAGTAATTTCTCATCTAAGTTTAGTGCTGCTAGAAGAGCCTAGTTTTTCCTTTCAAAGTAACTCCCCAGCACCTGAAAGGTGATGTAAGCATCTGAGAGCAGCTCCCTGCTTTCTCCACCTGGGCTGGGGGCACAGACACCTGGCTGAACAGGGCTCTGGTACTCAGAGGTGGATGCTATGCTGCATAGCAGAGAGGAAATGAAGATCAAATGTGGAAAAGATTAACGAACACAGCTGAGCCCTCTCAAGTGCCCCTGCAGCAGCAGAGTCCCCTGACACCCACCTTAACAAGTGGCCAGCCTGTGCCTCATGTAATGCAACTCCAGCCGTACACTCTGTGTAGTTTGGGATCAAAGCATTTTTGTGTCTGGAGTATGAACACTCAGCCTTCACATGCCCATTTTAAAACTGCCAAAAGTATTACTGCCCATATTTGTAGCAGGAAGCCTCTTCCTGGTGTCTGAAATCCAGACCCTTAATTTTCTAATAAATATTATGGTGCAATTATGAGATGACTGCACATGGAGGAAAACAACTTGCAAAATAAGGTGCAAATATTCACTGTCACAAAATGTATGTACATATACTGGAAAAGCAAGTTACAATGGGGGGTGTATCTCATAACCTGAAAAGACAACCAGGTTGTCTGAACCACACTATAGCCAAATTTCCATGCTCAGCTGAGAGAAAGCAAGCCAGAGCCTCTCACTGGCTCACTACTGCCTGAAGAAGTAAACTGTAACTAGAAGGAATATAGGGTGCCACCTTTGCTGACATTCATTCTTTTTGCTGCAGACTTTTGAGTTATATAGCTGTCTCCCAGCAAGCTGTGGGTAGCCTGCAGTAGTAAGCATGGATTAATTGTCTAGGGAGAGATAATGGGGAAATAAATGTGGACACGGGAAAACGAGAACAAAGCTGAAATGCCTCTGAAGAAATTGCACTGAAAACATTGATGTGCTGAATCCAAAGCCCAGAGGTACCCACACTGAGTGAACTAAAGTAAAAGGGCTGGAACTGACACACACCAGTGAGGCTGTCCTGGTGAAAAGAAAAGCAGGTGGGGCAAGCAGAATTCCCTGACTGCTCTCACCTGGGAGCACATGCTGCATCAGCCCAGGTGCATCTTGCCAGGAGCAGGAGAATGTGCCCACTTCCCTTTCATGGCTAAGGGCCCAGCAGTTACAGCTGCAGCGAGCACCTTTTGCCCTCTGGTGTGCCTGAGTTCCAGGAGCTGCGCACAGGACACAGCAGCAGGAGGACCAACGTGAAAATTACAGCACCCATGAACTGCAGTATAGCTCAGCAACCCTCCTGTGAAGTTAGTCACCAGCTACACTGAGCATGCTTAAAATCAACAATGCAAATGCTTTTAAGGACACTTTGTAAGCACAAAAATAGTAGAAACAAAACTTGGTGAACAATTTGAAAGATACAAAAAAGTGCCTTTCCATAGCAGTGCTTTAAAAATGCACATAATGGTATATACTTTTATTGCTCAAAAAATCTAGTCTGAAATATTAAAACAATTTCCAGAGGTGCTGAAACAGATTTTAAAAAAATCATATGAAACAGTTCAGCAGAGACAGCACCACTAATTTTTCTCTTTTCATGATGCACCTATTTAAAACTATATAGTTATAGATGTGTAATTTTCCACCTCAAATTAGCAAAACTTTTTTTCCTATTCATAAAATATTCACAAAGACATTTATTTCATGATTTGGACTTAAAAAAAAAAACTTTATAAAAAAGGAATGGGGGATACTGTCACAATATTTCTTAAATATCATCCTAAATTACTTTAAGGAGAGATTAGTTTATATTGGTTTTACACATGTGCAGATACTGCCAGGTCAAGCTGCTGTCTTTGTTTCATTCTTTGGGAAAAAGAAAGCGTTTAAAGTTTGCTTTTGGAGAAAAAGTAGGCAAACAGTGAAATTATTTGCCCTATGAGCCTATTGACACTATATATCAACAATATCCCCATGCTGACAAGGGAAGCTGTAACAGCTGAAGATGGGGTAGTTACAGTCCAAGTATTTTAGCTGTTTTACAAAGGCTGTGTCCCACCACCCTGCAAGGAATGTGCAGTGACACATAAGACCACTTACACTACCTTATCACAAGGACTGTCATGCTTGATGTGGTGACCAATTGTAAATTGGTGACTAACAAAAAACCAAGCAAACCAACAGTCTATTTTCTACTTATATGGGCCCTTAGATGAAATTCTTAGCAAATGTTATTGCCTCTTTAAGGTTATTTTATTTCCAGTCTTCTTCAGACTGCTAGAAGTGCAACTTCGTAATAAACAGGTTAATGCACTGGTCACAGTCTCTGGCAAGTCACAGAAAACAGAGAATTCCTACTCTGCTTGTCCTGAAATTGCTGCTCCCTTCTCTCTTTCCAGAAGGGAAAGTTTCCTGGCCATTTCCAATCCATTACAAACAACACTTTTTTCACAAACTTCCAGACGCTTGTTTTTGTAAGACACTACATCTTACCAGGCCCAGACCAGGTGAGACTGGATGCTGTGCATGCCTGTGTGAGCACACACCACTTTCTACAGAAACCTACCTGTTCATTCAGGGTAAGGGTTACACGGACAGCTCACCGATCGGCGTGGGTCAGCCTTGGGGGTTGACAGGATTTTCGATTGCAGGAGTCCTGGCAGCTTTCAGAAGGGGTTAACACAAATATATTCCTCTTGAGCCACAGAAACAAATGATTGAGCCTATTATCAGTTAGAATGCATAATGGTTTGGAATAATATACATTTATCCTACTTAACTGCATGGACAAATAAGTTTGAAATAATTTCTATCAGTGTATATTTTTAAACTATTTGAAAGGAGGGGGAGGCTCTTTATAGTATAAATATATTTCACTCCAGCCCACTATATATAAAATCTATTTCTTTCCTCTGAACATACTCATTTTCAGTAGTATTATGACCAGAATGTTTTGGTATGTTGCATCTGTACTTTTCAATCAATGGACAACGTACAGTTACCAGCCGAACACCTCAGCTTTGCAGAATTTACCCACCACAAACTGCTGAGAAGTTTGTGGGTTTGGGTTTTTTATTTCCTTTCTTTAAAGTGCCCCCTACATCTCTATCTTTATAAGATTTGACCAGTTAGAGTCCGATTCCAGATAATATACTGACTGAAACAATAAATACGGTTCTACAAAAACATTCTGGTTATCTTCTATAATTGCGACGAAATATATCACAATATATTATATACCTACACTTATTATACATGCACAAACATGTCTCACATGGACAGACACTACAAAAAATTATCTCCCTCCCCCTCCCCTAAATGCAGAAAAAGTAAGAAAATGGGGGTTTGGTCCAATCCCTAAGAAGGGTAAAAGAAACTGAAAGAATGAAGCCAACACCTCTCTATCCACTTTTCCCAATGCAGTATCAACACCCCTAAGCCCCCATCTTTCTTAACCTAGACATGAAAGGGGAATGTCTTTACATTTAGCCATAGCTGCAGTTTGAGATCACCTCTTTTAATGGGGCTATCATCCACAACCCCACATCCTCTCCACGTGCACGGGATCACGGGCTGGGCGATCACAGAGCAGCCCACAAGTCATGGAGAGCACTGGCTCTGGGGACTGACTACCAGTCCCGTGACAGCTTGGTGTTCTGATCCCTTTTGGGGGGTGCAGGGGGCGGCCCTCTCCGTAACGTTGCATAGCCAGATATATGACTGCCCCCAAAGCTGCTGGTCTTCTGCTGGTCAGCTAGCAGCTCTGGTGGAGGTGGAGGCAGGGCCATGTCGTCCATGGTGGCCGTGGGCTCCGTTCTGGACATCCGTGCGGAGGAGAGCGAGCCGTGCCGGGTGATGGATTTCCGCTGCAGCGTCCGGTTGAGGTCTGCCAGGAATCCCGGCTGAACGCTAAGGCTGGACTTGGGTGAGGTGGGCACTTGTGGGCCAGCTGACCCTGGGGGCTCTGCAACTTCTGCCTGTGTCAGTCGGGTGCTGTCGTTCCGCTTGGGGCGTGTGGGTGGCGGGGCTTTTTTCACAGATGGTTTTGACCATGCCTGTGGCTGGGGATTTACAACAGCAACTTTCGGGGAGGTGCTGCCTGAAAACACAGATGGAATTTCTACTGGAGGGGGAGGAAGATCTATTTCAGGTGGTGGTGGTGGGAAGTCTGAATCGGATGGCGGTGAAGGGAATTCAACCACAGGTTCCTTTCCAGACACACTCGGAACAGAAGCCTTGGCTGGGATCCCACCTTGTGGAAGGACAATGGGCAGACTCACACCAGAAAGGTTGAGCTTTCCTGGCTTTGGAGGGGCTGGAGGAGGCGATGACTCCTTGGAAGGAGATCCTGACGGCTCTGGGGAGTGTGCAAATTTGCTGACAAGGCGGTCCACTGAAGGCCTCTTGGACTCATGGTACTCAGCAGAGCTTGTGGACTTGATGCTGGAATTGCGTTGAGGTGTTGGAGGTGGTTTCTTCCCTCCAGGGCTTGATGTCTTGCCGGCCTTTTTTACTGGAGACCCTGATTTGTCAGGTGGGGGAGAACCTGCAGAGGAAGCTGGGGAAGGAGGTGGAGGAGGAAACACTAAACTGCTCTCTGGTGGAGGAGGGGGGAAATCTGGTGAAGGAGCAGCAGCAGGCTGCCATTTGGGCTTTGCCTTCACTGCTGGAGGCGACTGTGGAGCCACACTCAGTGGAAGGGGTTTCAGAGGCTGGGGCTCAGTGGCAGGTGGTGTGGGAGGCGGGGGGAACTGGCTGACTATCTGCTTCACCACCGACGGCACTGGGGACTGAGGGGATGGAGGAGGCTTTACTGAGAAACTCTGCTGCTTTGGGAATGTTGCAGGTGGAGTGGGGCCAGGAGGGGCTGGGGGCAGAGGAGGCACCTGGGGAGAAGTGACACTTGGTTGTTTCTTTATTGCAAGGGGCAAGGCTGCAGTCACAGGGGGAGTGACATGTGTGACCCCTGGTGACGCTGCCTTCCCACTAGACTGAGGGGGCAAAGCTGCCATGACAGGCTTTGGGGGTGCCTGTGGTGGTGGTGGGGCAGGCACAGGAGGAGGCGGTGGTGGCAACGAGGAGGCAACAGCGGCCTGGCTTATATTTGGTTGAACCTGATGTATCTTGGGGGGCGGTGGCGGTGGCGTGAACTGTGGCACAGAGGGGGCACAAGGTGCCGGCTTCAGCTGCGCCATGGCCGAGCCCGGTGTGGGGGGCGGCGGTGGGGGCGGAGGGGGCGGCATGACCCCGTTGGGGGGCACCAGGATCTGAGGCTTTGCCGAGGGCGGGGGCGGCGGCGCGGGCTGC